CCCGCCAATAGGAAGCGGGGGAGGGCGGGACAAAAGGAAATAGTAGCTTTGCGCCGGACTCTGCTCCTTTTGACAGGAGGAGCTGCCCCCGCGCCGCCGCTCCGGGCAGCGGGTGGAGGGCGCGGCGCTGCCCGAGCTCCGCAGCCGCAGCGCGGGGGGACTTCCGACCCCCGCGGAGACGGAAATAAACCCCAGGTAGAGGCAGAAACAGCATTTGACAAAATTCAATATCTATTCACGACAAAAACTCCCAACGGAGTGGGTATAGAAGGCATGTCCACCAACCTAATCGAGGCCATAAATGACAAGCCGGCCGCCGACACCTGCTCAACCGCGAAAAGCGAAAAGCTTTCCCTCTACCGTCAGGAGCAAGACGAAGGTGTCCAGCCTCATCATTTTTACCCAACATAGCACTGGACCTTCTAGCCAGAGCAATAACGCATAAATAAAAGGCAACCAAATACAAAGGAAAAAGTAAAATTGTCTCTATTTGCAGATGTCATGATATTATAGATAGAAAACTCTAAAGACCCCCAAAACAAACACGCGCCCCTCCCACTATTAGTTTCAGTAAATTAGCAGGATAGGAAAACAATTTTCAAAAATCAGTTGTATTTTATACACTAACAACAAACTATCAGAAATAAAAAATTAAGAAAAGAACTCCATTTACAATTACATCAAAAAAGAATAAAATACTTAGGAATGAAGTGAACCAAGGAAATGAAAGACCTGTACACTGAAAACCATAAATAAATGGAAAGATAATCGTGCTCAACGATTGGAAGAATTAATATTGTTAAAATATCCATACGACCCTAAGTGATCCACAATTCAATGCAATCCTCATCAAAATTCCAATGGCATTTTCACAGAAGTAGAACAAACAACCCTAAAATTTGTATGCAAACACAAAAGACTCCAAATTGCCAAAGAACTCTTTTTTTTTAATATAATTTTTAAATTTTATTTTTGTTTAAAATATTACAGATGTCCCTTTGTANAAGACTCCAAATTGCCAAAGAACTCTTTTTTTTTAATATAATTTTTAAATTTTATTTTTGTTTAAAATATTACAGATGTCCCTTTGTATCCCCAATGACCCGTTCCACCCCGTCCCATCCCCCTCCTCAGCCCCTCTCCCCACCATTGTCCGTGTCTTTGGATTGTGCATATATGCATATAAATTTGCCAAAGAACTCTTGATAAAGAAGAACAAAGCTGGAGTCATCACACTTTCTAATTTTAGACTATATTAAAAACTACAGTAATTAAAACACTATGGTATTGGCATAAAAGACACATAGATCAATGCAGAAATAAACCCATGCATATATGGCCAATTAATTTTTGACACAGGAGTCAAGACTATACAATGGAGAAAGGATAGTCTCAGCCACATGCAAAAGAATGAAGCTCTACCCCCTATCTTACACTGCACACAAAAATCAACTCAAATGAATTAAACTTAAGACCTGAAGCTGTAAAGCTCCTTGACATTGGTCTTGGAAATGATTTTTTGGGGGGATTTGGCACTAAGATGGAGGCAACAAGCAAAAATAAACAAGTGAGACCACATCACACTAAAAAATGTCTTCATAGGTAAAGAAACCATTAACAAAATAAAAGGGCAACTAATGGAATGGGAGAAAATCTTTTCAAACTATCTATCTGTTAAAGGGTTGATATCCAAAATATAGGGAGAACTCACACATCTCAATAGCAAAAAACAAAAAACAAAAACAAAATAAAAAGCACAATTAACCAACCAAACAAATAAAAAAAAACCCAATCCAATTAAAAAATGGGCCGAGAAACTGAATACATATTTTTCAAAGAAAGCCATGCATATGGCCAACAGGTCCATGTAAAGATGCTCAACATCGCTAATCATCAGGGAAATGCAAATCAAAACTGCAGTGAGGTATCACCTCACACCTGTTAGAATGGCTGTCATAAGAAAGACAAAGGAAAACAAGTGTTGGTGAGGATGTGGGGAAAAGGGAACCCTCATGTACTGTAGGTAGGAATGTAAATTGGTGAAACAACTATGGAAAATAGTATGGAGAGTCCTCAAAAAATTAATAATAGAACTACTATGTAACTCAGGATTTACACTTCTAGGTATATATCCAAAGGAGATGAAAACAAGATATTGAAGAGATACCTGCATGCTCATGTTTATTGCAGCATTACTTACAATAGGCAAGCTAGGGAAACAACCTAAGTGTTCATGAGTGGATGAATGGATAAATAAAATATATATATATGTAATAAAATATGCATATACAATGGAGTATTATTCAGCCACGAGAAAGAGAGAAATCCTGATGTTTTTGACAATATGGATGGACCTTGAGGACATTATGCTAAGAGAAATAAGTCAGACACAGAAAGATAAATACTGCATGGTATCACTTATATGTTGAATTTAAATACAAGTCAAACTCATAAAAAAATCTGTATAAATTCGTATTTTGTTGTGCAATCATACATTCATTTAAAAATTCAGAAAAATATATAACCAAAATGCTTATAAATCATTCAATCACTCAGAGGTCAGGACTGTTAATATTTTGATGTATACCTTTCTATAATTATTTAAAGATAAATGTAGGTATTTTAAATAAAAACAGGGTCATACTGTGAAATGTTTGTAATCTATTCTTTATACTGGACAATATACTGTGAACAAAATGAAAATATGCTTACCCAATTACAGATGTCAAGAAGCTGAGGAGAGGAAAAGCCAGTATATATAAAAAAATCAGAATCTGGAATAACCTAAAAAGATCTGGGGCCAAATTAACAAGCTTAAATTTAACAAGGATACATTTAAAGTTTGAACTTAGGTTCATAGTTGGTCTAGATCTTAACTGCCTACAAAGACTATCTGAATCAACAATGTCGCTTGCTTTCAAAAAGCTAATGTCACTTTCTAACGAAAGCATGGTGTCTAAAATAGGAAGGACAAGTTCTTACTCTGGGTTCTGCTGCTCTGACCATACCCTGAGTACTATACTTAATTCTGGCCAACAAAATTAAAAACAAAATGTTTTTATTGATTTTAGAGAGAGAAGAAGGGAAAGAGAGAGGGAGAGATACACTGATGAGGGAGAGAAATGTCAATCGGCTGTCTCCTGCACACCCTCCTCTAGGGATTGAGCCCACAGCCCAAGCATGTACCTTGACTGGGACTCAAACTGGTAGCTTCTTGGTGCATGGGACAACACCCAACCAAGTGAGCCACATGGCCAGGGCATGGCTAACACATTTTATAAAAAAAAAACATTGACAACGTCGGTCAAGACTCAAGAGGACAATTTTGGCAAATTGTATCTAGTCATAAAACCACCATGCAATCAAGGAACAGATCTAGATACGCAAGCATATTTACATCTACCACAATAATTATTACTATCCCAACTATTTGTCACCCCAAAAAGTTTGAGTGTAGGTATTTTTAAGTGTCAAGGGAATGACGTAGTGGGAAGAGGGCTAGGGAAATATCCTTTGGCTTTTTCCTTCTGTACCTTGGACTTAAAGGTGGAGATTTGGCTTCTCTCTAATTAATTTGGAAACTGATGTATAAAGACCATCATAAGAGAAAGAGTCCAACAAGTTCAGTGCCAAGACTGTTGAAGCCCATCGTAGCGACCTTCTTAGCATTTAGGCCGGGGAGATGGCAATTGCATGGACAAACAACAGTGTTTACCACATGCTTCTCTTCTCCTTTCTCTGATGTCACTTTAAGATGTTACCTACTATACACCTGCTGTCTTCCAAATCTACATCTAGTTCTAACTTCTCCTGGGTTCCAGATACGTTATCATCTGACCATTCTACACGTGCACTTGGGGGTCTTGCCAGCAGCTCAAATTACATGTCTAAAATGGTATCCATCATTCTGCATCCTGGTAGTGAGAAGAACTCCATATTTCTACCCAAAGTATTGATCGACACCATCACTCTCCTACTCTCCAGGAACAGGAAAACGAGAGCCATCTAGGGCTACTCCTTCCCCATTATTTCCCACATCTAATTCCAAGTTCCATCTAGGGCTACTCCTTCCCCATTATTTCCACATCTAATTCCAAGTTCCCTTGATTTTTAACTTTTTCCCACTCAACATATCTTGTATCCATTCTTTCTAAATGCATCGGTTAGTTAATAATGTGGCTCAGTATGTGTGGATATATGAACACATGTGTTATAAGTGTGTAATGTGAACTTTAAACGCACCTGAGAATATTAGCATTCTTAGTGTCATTTATGCCCCTGGCTGGCTAACAAAGAAGAGAAAAAAACCATAAAATTTTGGTTTGGTTTTGTAAAGTAATAGTATAGTTATTTATGTGAACATTTTTCATTTGTTCTTAATTACCCTGCAGTAAAATAATGATTAAGACAATAAGTAATTATGTGACAGATTTACTAGTTTGTAATTTTTATTCAATTGTGATTGATAAGGTATCGGTCCTCATTGTTGACAGTAATGTGAGACTATGGTTTGATCCCAACTTTTAGAACCTAGAAGGAACATTGTTTATGTTCCAGAAAAAAAAGTGTAGATAACAGTTGTTCTGTGGTTGCCAAAGTTAAGTTCATTCTGTTTCAGATAGCAGGTGAAATTGAATGGCACACGATTGACAAGACAAGTTTAAAGGCAGAGGAACAGAAGATTTTGGCCAATTGTCAGCTCAAACAAACAAAATCATTAATACAAATTTATTATGATAATTCCAGGGATCCTGGATACTGAATACAGAGTCTCATGGCAATGGAAAAAACATGACTTGGACCAAAGTGCCTTGGAGTAACTATATCAAACTCATTCAGCCTGGGGAACACTGTCTGTTGTTGAGGATGCCTGGTCACACTCAGAGGTTACAAAGAATTGCTATAAATATAATAATATGTTATAATATCTTAAATTATCTTTATAAATATATATACATATAAATAATAAGGTAACATTCCATGTTTTGCCTTACTCTTGAGGCTCAGCTTCAAGACGTATTTTACTGAAATGATCTCACTGACTCATAAAATACTGTTGAGGCAGAAAGGACATAGGAATCATTCCTTCCATTTTGAAGACGATCTTACTGAAGTCTCAGAAACTTACAGAATTTGATTAAGGGTTCATCAGCAACTTAAAAGCAGAAGGTGAGCAGTTGGAATGAGATCCTGGGTCTATGGCTTCTCATCCAACTGCCACTGTGGGCCTTTCTTAGTTTTCTTGTGCCTTGGTTAACTCCTATGCAACACCGGTAGAGTCTATTTTATAGTCGAGAGCCCTGGTCCTCCCAAGATTGCTATGAATAATAATAATTAAAATGATTGGCACTTTGCATAGTAGAAGGTGTTCCTTAAATAACAAGCAACATTATATATTAGTGTTGGTTCACTAGACCTTACTCCCTCTCTTGCAAAGAGAGTAAACATTCATTTAGAATTACGAAGGCTCAGCACATGCTGAGCAAGTGACTAAGAGGAAAGGGTTTCAATTGTTCATGTACATGGTACATATGGACTGGCAACATTTCACAAGTAAGTAGACTCCAAAGTCAAGGCTAGTGCTCCAGTATCTGAAAGTCAATGATAGAGGGTGGCCCACTTGCCATGTGCACTGGTTTTTCTTGCCTTGTGGCAATAAACAACTTTGGATAGGCAACTGACTCGAAATACTCCTTAGTGCCATGAGTTTCCCAGAAGAAGAGGAGGTTGGTCTCATCTGTGATGGTCTTGGGTGTCTCAGGCATCTCCTAGGACAAGGCAAACAGAGATGTTAGAGAGTAAGGTGCTGGGACAAGAATCGAAGTTCAGTCCCTTGGCATGTAGCCTCAGTGAGAAGCATAGCACTTTAGGATTATGACTCTGTAATACAACGTAGGTTCTTCACTCATTTGTTCATTGAGCAAGCATTTGTTGCATGCCTACTTGATGTATGGTCCCACCTATTCATAACAGTCGATTTCCTTAGTTAACTGGAGAGAAATCCAAATTGGTCATGAAGATTGCCAGTGACACCAGTGTCTCCCTGTATCCTGGCAGGTGGGGTTAAACTTCATTCTTACCCTGCCTCCCACATGGGCATAGGGCATTTTGCCTCAAATGTAAGTGCTAGTGATTCTAAGAGCTCTAAAGATTTTGACCTCTAAGTATTTAAATCGTACCTTTGGGAAAATAATTTATAATTTAGAGATGTTTATGTCTGTATTTGAGTCAACGACTGAAGGTTTAAAAAACCCCCAAACACACACACACACACACACACACACACACCCCACTACCCAGGTATATTAGCAGCTGAAGCCTTTCAATACAATTGCTGATGCCTGTGATCTCTTTAGCCTGTACTCTTCTTGTGATTATGAATAGAATTTAACAATACTTTCACGGAAAAGTAAAAGCCAGCTCCAACTTGAGATACATCTTCTCTATCTTTTTAGTCTAAAGAAACTAAATATCCTTCTGAAGTTCCCTTGGGGTTTTCAATGTCAGTAAGGATTTTATTTCCCAAACCAATTCCTCTCCTAATGTTTTTCATCTCAGTAAATGAAATGTCTCCTCTTGCTCTTTTAGGTTCTGTCTTCAAAATGCAACGAGAGATTCTGTCTACTGCTTTCCACCTTTCTCAGCACTTCTCACCCCATGACTGCTTTTATTACTTCCTACTCTGGCCTTCTGTTTCCTCTATTGCCTTCCTTCTGATCTAGTGTCCATTTTAGAAAATATAAGTGAGCTCCCTTTAATGGCTTTTTAGTGTACCTCAGATGAAATCCAAATGCAAGGCTCCACCAACACTAGCCCCTGTCTATCCTTCCTCCTCCTCATGGTGCCCAGCTCTTAGAGTGTCCTTCTAATCTTTGAAGGTGGCCTTTAAGATCTAGGGCCTGGGAGCAGCCAGCCCCCTCTCTGTTTACAAAGCCCCACTCCCACCCATCCCTTTGCATGATGGCTTCCCCCCTCCCTCCCATCAGCAGCTCTCATCTCACAGGAAGCTCTGTTCTTGCCCCTCTATCTAAAGAGCACCCCCACTTCTCTCTATCTCAGCACCCTGTCCATTTGCTTTATAGCATCTTACGCATTGTGCTGGTTGCTTGTCTTGTCTATTGCCTGTGTCCCCTAGAAGACTAAGTTCTATAAGGCTAAGGACTTTGGCTTGCCACTGTCTACACAGCTGTTGACGCTATGCTTGACAGATAGAAGGCTCTCAATAAATAACTCTTACTGAATGACTTCATGAATGAAGCTACTGACACCATTCTCATCTCACTTGATCCAGGTGGAGAAGTACATGCACCACATAAAGCCTAGTGGGGGTTGGGGGTTGGATTATGCATTTGCTGTTTAAGAGTCACCTGCTTACCAGTGGAGAAAACTCTTAAGACTACAGTGGGCGTGTGTGTCTGCATATCTGTGGGGGAAGGTGGTAGTGGAGGTGGGGCTGGGATAATGTTGGAAACAATGAAGGGAGAGAGTCACTAGAGCCTGAAGGCCAGGGTTCGAGTCCTGGCTTCAGCTTTTTTCTTTGTGCCTGCTGGCACATGATTAATCCTCTCTGATCTCAGTTGGCTTGATTGAGTTTCTTGGAGGCAGGCCTATCGCCCTAATGCCTAAATAACTTAAGGCAGATAGTAGATGTCATAGTAGATGTCAGAAAGGATCAAAGGCGGAGAGACTAAATGGATGCCCTTGGATGGGAGGTGAAAGAAAATGAAGGAAGGGAAAGAAAATGATGGAAGAAAGCAATTGACCTCATACCTCTTACACTCCTGTGCCTACAGTTTACTCTCTTACAGCTCCCGCCTAGAATTGCCTCTGGGGATGTGTGAGAAGCAGGTGGGGACTGTGGTAGGAAGAGCAGAGGACTTTGCACCCCGCTAGGGGTGTCTGCCTGTTGGGGTCATTTACAAATGTATGGGATGTAACAAAGGTAAGTTAGAGACGGGCGACAACTTACCTTTAGCAATACCGGATCATCTTTATCCTGGGCACTCAAAAACAGTCGTGTTTCTGAGATCCTTAGAGTCACAGGACGTTTAAGGTCATTTGACTTATAAGCACCCATGTCAAATTTCACTGGTGAAGAGAAAAGCCAAAAAGAAAGTAAATTTATTGTATTTGTACAAAATCAAGTGTTTATGTAGATTGTGTGTGTGTGTGTGTGTGTGTGTTGGGTCCCTGACTATGGTGTAAGGGCCAGAAATGGTATCTGACACATCTGTGTGCCCTTTACAATGTCTGCCACATTTACTAGGCGGGTAGATCCTTGGTTAATGTCTTTAGGTCTTCTATGTTGAATGGATGCTTAAGGGCTGAGTATTGTTAAATCTCTTGTAATTACATGAATGGGAGGGCCCACTAATGCAATTACAAGACCTGAAATTTGTGAGGTCATGAGTTCCTAGTGACCTAAGCTGGAAGGGTTTAGGGAAGCCGGTACTCATGCTGCTAGTGTTAGTAGTTTAGTAGCAAACAAGTAGTTTAGTTTTCCTTAAAGAACAATACTTAATAAGAGTTGAAAGATTATACACGCCTAGAAACCCAGGAGTTCCACTTTCGGGATATGCTCTAAAGAAATAACCTCATAAGAAAACAGTGTATATACAAAGATATTTGCAACAGAATTACTTAGAGCAAACCCAACTATATACATGTGTCCCCCCCAAAATGTATACTCGCTTTAACAGCTGATAGCTCAATTTTGAAAATGAAATATATTTTAATAAACACTGCTTTTATAATTATTCAAAGTGTGTGTATACATTTTTGGGGGGAGCACCATATATATATTATCAATGTATGGGAAAATTGTGTGAAAATAAAACACAAAATGATTTGTAACTGTCAGAGTGGAAAGTGTGTTAGCTGAAGTCCAATCAGAAAGAGCCCTGCTGTTTACTGCAGAGGAGCCTCTGTGAATCTCGGAAAATAATTTTGTGTATGATGACATGTCCTGAAGCTAAACTGTATGCACCATGGAAATCGGGTCTGTGTGACAAAACTTCTTAGACACTAAGTTTCATCCTTCAGGTCATATTTGCAGCTTAGTAGCTCTTTTGCTGTACAATTATGTTACATAATTGTGATAACGGTTCTTTCTAGTTCGGTGTCATTTGTAAGTTTGATCGGCAGGCTTTCTGATGAAGTGTGATGGCCCCTCATTGGTTCTGGGTAAATAGGGTGAGTGATTTAATATATTTGAGACTCAGTTTCCTCTTCTTTAAAAAGAAGATAAGAGGATAAGACTGAGAGAACCAAAGGTGAAACTACATCAGAAAGCTCCACACTGCACTTAGTGCTTTCAAAGACAAGACACTTACCTTGTGGGGCTCTCAGGTTTGGCTGAGGCTCCTGCCCTTGCCTGGGTTTTTTACTGGGGTGATATACATCTTTCTGTTCTAGAAAAATTGTGCAAAGCCAGGAATCTAGAAGGTATATTTTTTGAAAGTAGAAAGCTTGAAAAGAAAATACAGAAATAAGAGGAGGGAGGATGACTGAGTTTCAGTTTACCTGCTTGGTCCAGATTATTTAATGCGGTAGCCATGAGGAGTTGACCCGATGTGTCTCGAATGATGCTTTGGTTGAGGGCGTCATTCAGGATGAATTGTTGCTTGATGACCCTCATGAAGGGGTACCTCATGTTGCCCTGGGAGCTGTAAGGCACTGACGTGGACTGGAGGATTTCTACAACAATTAGCACAAGCTGAGATTAATGTCTGGGTGCAAACATGTGACATGTTTGTTCTAATACAAGCACAGAAAGTAGCTACGAAAGGAATATTAGGAATACTCCAACTCAGGTGAGGAAACGGAGAAGTGGAACCCCCCGGCAGTACAGTGGGCTCTAGGATCATTTCTTTTTAAACTTTGATGCCTCATTGTTGCATTACTTATAATGGCGAAAAATTGGCTCTAAAATGCCCTTGATATGTCGCTAAGTGAAACNACTTTGATGCCTCATTGTTGCATTACTTATAATGGCGAAAAATTGGCTCTCTAAAATGCCCTTGATATGTCGCTAAGTGAAACAAACAAACAAGCCAGATATAAAATTGTGTATAGTGTGATCCTAACACGATCATGTGTGTGTATGTACATAGAAGTGACTTATAGTGCTGGCAGTGGTTAAGTCTTGGTGGTAGTATGAGTGATTTTTATTTTCTTTCTTCCATTTTCTTCTTTTCTTAATTTTCTCAATGAACACGTATTATTGTTTAGCTATTACCTTAAACATGTTGAGTTCCTGTTTCACATAGAGGGTTATAGAGTAGAGGCATGGGGAGAAAAATCATGATTTTTATCGTCAGAACCAAATTTGGTCTGAGGCTTTTCCATTTACACACCTTGTGCCTTTGGGCAGGTGACTATCTCGCTGAGCTTAGTTTCCTCACCTATAAAATGAGAATGTAGGGTTGCTGAGAAGTTTAGATATCGTCTAGCCACTAANGAATTTGGTCTGAGGCTTTTCCATTTACACACCTTGTGCCTTTGGGCAGGTGACTATCTCGCTGAGCTTAGTTTCCTCACCTATAAAATGAGAATGTAGGGTTGCTGAGAAGTTTAGATATCGTCTAGTAAAGTGTTATTGTTGATAGTATTAACAAAGGTAATAGCAGCAGTAGTAATAGTAAGAACAATGACGATGGCAGTAACTGACAGTTATTGGCTATTTACTATGTGCCAGGCATTATTCTAGTCCAGAAGCTTGCAAATGTTGACACATTTAATTCTCATGATAAGTAAGGACTTGATCAGCTCCATTTCACAGTAGAGGAAACCAGAGCACAGAAAGGTTAAGTAACTTCACCAAGGAGGCACAGTTAAGCATGTGGAGGAACACAGCTTGTCAACTGTTACCCACTAACAGTGCATGCATGCTTTCTGCGGAAGGACTGAGGTCACATGACCTTTACAATACAGCTATGAAATGAGCACGTGAACAAGCATTTCAGACACAACCACTGTTGCTTTCCCCTGGCTTGAGAAGGACAGATTTAATTTTCCTTCCTTATAGTTACCAGGCTGGTGCCTAGTTGTCTGCTTGTTACTCTAACTCCAGGTGGGTGTTGTTTTTTGTTTTGTTTTTTTTTTGCCTCTATACTCCATTGTCGCTAAATTTGCTTAAAAATCAAAAGCAAGGCTATTATTGTACTTGACCCCCTACCTTCTTCTGGATCATTGGCAATGGCATCCAGGTCATTGTTGGTCATAGACTGATTGAAAGTCAACCGTCTCCTCTTCAGAATCTTCCCACTGGCTGCCACCACCACCATACTCTCCTTGTAGGTAAGCTGGGATGTCTTCGAGGTCTCAGAGGTACTCAGAGACATGAATTTGTCCATGCATTCCTTGGGAAGTGGGTCATAGCTTGCATCATAGAAGGACTTCTGTGAGAAAAGAAAGTAGAGCCTGAGAGGTTGCCCATTGCCATAAAATGAGAGTGCTTTCAGTAGGAGTTTTATTCAACAGACTCAGTGAGAAGGATCTCCATTTTGGTCTCGGCTAACCCTCGTTTCATCAGTCTTCCCCTCCCCCATCCACCCTCTTCTCAGGATTTCCCTGAAAGCATGTGATCTCTTGGCCAGTTATTGTCATCCATCGGCCTACTCAAAACTGAGATGTAATGAAATAGCTTTACAAGTGAGATCTTAGTAAGTTGTGGCCTTCTAGTTAGTTCTTCCTCAGAAATTAGACTTTTACTGGACAGGGCACAAATATTTTAGAAACATTCTTCTGGGAAACATTCTTCTGGGAACAGCTTTTAGAGCCAGTAGCAAAGGCACTCAAGGCAGTACTTATGTGGTCTCCTAGCAAAATCACACAGCTGGAGCGTGGCCTGCTTGCCCCACCTCAGCTTCCTAGGCTGTTACATTTCAGGTCTTTCTCTAATCTCTGGAGCTGGAGTCACAGAGGATGACCCCAACATATCTCCTTAGGAGACGGATCCCAAAGGGGCTGTCTCAGGATAGCATAACTAACATTTGATGACGCCTGGCCGAGACTCCAGTTCTTGGGGTTCAAGGTAGTTCTGCTCTCTTCTGGCCTTCATGAAGAAGGCCATCAACTCTCAGTGCATAGAGGCAGTGTGTCTCACTTACAATGAAGAGATACATGTCCATGGGCCTCTCGTGAGGGTACAACAGAAGCATCTAGGGCTCGCGCCACTGGTGTTCTCTTCTGGTGGAGAAAATACTACTGTGTCCGAATAGCAGTCCTATAAGAATCAGTCATTTGCTTACCTGAGCCAGAGAGAGTTGGTCAATGTCAGAACTGTAGCCTTCATTTTCACTGTGAAACAGGATGATAAAAATGTAATTGTTTGTTATATCACTACAGTCACTGGCAACATATTTTAATGACCACATTAGCTTTGGGTAAAACACACACACACACACAGCCACTACAGTCATCCTAGAAAATGAAGGGCTTCTATATACACACGTACATATAGTGATTTGTCCCTCGCTAATTTCAAATTAGTAATCATCAGGGCAGGCTTTAAACTTTACCTGTTTTTATCAACAAAAACAGGGGTCGGCTAACAAATTGAAGAGCTGTAGTTAAATTTTGGAGAAAAATGTTAAGCTCCTCAAGAGAAAAGAAGTACTTTTGAAGCAGCTCATTTTAATTTTAGCCAAACAGATGTTACACGTTGCTTTCATGTATCCACTAAAATGGATTTAGTCATTTATACTTGGCAACACATCCAGACATTTGGATGCCCTGGCGGGTGCCAGTGCACATTAACAGGTAATGGAAGCACCACGCTTGTTGAAAGGGCTCTATAATTTTACCTTTTTATTTATGTATGTTTCTCCTATGTCTGGAGGAGGCTTGACAGTGTCTGAGCACTCATGTGCTCAGATTGCTGTGGAGCCATTTCCCATTCCAGGCTGAGATCAAGAAGTTTTCTGAGAATGGTTTCTTTCTCTGACAGCCATTAAAACCCATGACAGTATTGGAACATGTGGCCCCAGCCGAGGCAGTGTCTGAGTAGATGTTGAGATTCACTAGGACTCAGCAGACCTTAAAAATAATTTTTCTATAATGGCTGTCTCCCTGTCACTGTCATCTCAGTTTAACACGCTGGATGCTTAGTTTCCCTGGGTCTTTGCTCAGCCTGCCCTGACTTGGGAGGTAGGACACATCTCTTCAGTGTCTGCCAGTCCGGCCCCACGCTGGTCACTGTAACCCCTCGCCCAATTCTAATGTGCCTTGATCTCCCCATCAAATCGCAAGAGAATCTATTTCCTACCTGTAACAGCTCTTCAGGTCTTCAAAGAGGTCAGGGACCTTAGCCATGTTGATTTCTGCAACAGAGAACACCAGGGGGCGTCAGTCTAGCCGGCGCCTGAGCCAGATGCCCGCAAGGGGAACCACCTCCGCTTGGAACTTCTTGAGAAACTTAACGCATGACTTAGCCCACACGCAGCATTTTCCCCATTCTTCTTTGCACTCCTTTAAATGATTTGCATTGCATCTGCCTCCTCTACTAGACTGTGAACTTCTTTTAGAATCTTAGTGTCCCGTATATGTCCAACACAATGCATGCACATAGGCATCCGGTGAACTTTGGATAAGTTAAAAAAAAAAAGACACCCACAGGAATGAGGTATTTGCCTTACACAGATGCAAGAGAGAGACAGAGTTGGAAACTCGCAGTTTCCTCGCCGTAGTTTTTGGGAATAGAGTTCCCTCTGAGGGAGGCCTTGGCTGTGCCCACCTGTGCCCTTAGACGAGACCAGCTCCTCTGCCCCTCAGTTGCTCACTGGAAGAGAGAATCATTTTCTGGAATTTGACTGTGATTCTAACTCACACACCGAATTAGGAAAGGACCAGAAAGGAAGGAAAAGGCTTTAGCTTCTGAGAAGGCAGTTTGAGAGATAACAGCCAAGGAGAAAAACAAAAAGTATTTTAAAAGCCAGATTCGATAAGGACAGTACCTTTGCTACTCCGGCGCCAGTGAAGTGACTCCCTCTCGGCCCTGAGACTTGGCCCACGGCCAGTCCCTTCGCCTTTTGTCTCCGATGGAGTGGGCGTGGCCATGGGTGTGTCCCGGGGAATTTACGCATAAACAAAGCAGGATTCTTCCTCCTAAATTCGTTCAACCTTTTAATAGCAGATTATAAACTTGCTAATGTTGTTCTCGGAGATTGCCAGGGTTTTTGACTTGCTTTATGTGTTCATTGCTTTGCTCTGAACAATTATAAACACATAGTCTTAGAAAAAGGGAAGAAGGACAGGAAACTTACCAAGTTTCTAAAAATATAGGAGGGAGAGGAAGGAGAACTCCGAAAATGGGAATGACAGGTGGCTAGAGTGGGAGAGGAGCTTCAGGGCCGTGGGTGTGTTTTGGCTCAATCTGCTTACTGTCCCCCATGGCTGAGTATGAATGGACGGGGTACTTGGCAGCCCCTGGCAGCTGAGACGTGGCCCCTGAGGGAAAAAGACCCATTTTTTCTGAAGAGGGAGGTTTGTGTGACTAGGCATAGCTCACTCCGAGTATAGGGTGGCAACCTGCTGGTTAGGGCAGGACAGAGGAGACAAAAGTGATATTCAACCACAAAAGTCTCCATCCTCTTACTCCTCTGAATGCGGTCAGTCCATTTCCTACAGAAGTGACAGAGCTTCAGGAGCGAGCCCTCTCTCGGCTCTGACCATGCTACAGCCTCCACCAGAGCCCAAAGAGCCGTCTGGTCTTTTTCAGGATAAACCCCAGAAGTGTGAGGATCACTGCAGACTCTGGGAGTGTAGGCAAATCCCCAGAGGCCAGTGGCTAGATTCAAGAATAGGGGTTGGGGAAAGGAAGGGACTCATGTATGACACTGATCAGACTTTGTCAATATTTTGAGGCTGGCCCAGTTCGGGTGGTACAACACCAGATCCTTAGCAGATACATGGTTCAGGTTTCCTGGTTGGAATGGAAACCACATAAATTTAAGTAAAGGAAATGGATGATAGGAGAGGGCCGAAGAGAAAGGGGAAGCATGGCAACATGGCATTAAAAAGCACGGAAGCACAGAACTGGGAGTAAGTGGCTTATGTGAGTTGGGTAAAGCATTCTCTCCAGTCCTGTTCAACTAAAGAATGGAGTTGGTTAGGTGATCATTATGGTCTTTCCTAGGTGCTAAATGTCTGATTCTGATTCCTTTGCCCAGTCTAGTTCCTCCTGATCGTAGGCTTGGTGTTTCAATAGCCATAAACAAGAGCTCAGAAATAGCTGGCATCCTGAATGTAGGCAGTGTAAATGAAGGACCAGATTGGGGCAGAGCTTAGGTGTCTCAGCACGATCATTGTATTAATGGTGTTGGTAGCCAGGTCTCTACGTCTGTGGTTCCCCTACAGGCAGCACAGAATGTTAACCCTTGTCACCCATTTGCCTCTTGGGGATCTTGTGAGGACTATTACTAAGAAGCGATTGCAGAGCACATTGTGAATGTGGTCTGCGAGGGAGATGCAATGAAACAAAAATAATAACAATGCTAATGATGGCTCTGTCACTTGGAAACCTGTATAGTCATCATTGTAACACCTTGGTTCACCAAAGGAAAAATAGTTGTTATGAAAATATGGGTTCAAAAACTTCAACAGGAGGACCTATTCAGATGAAGACCTCCACTGAACCCGTGAAGATACTTAGTTTCTGGGAGGACTATTCAACACCTCTTTGGTAATCCAGGAAAATACCGTTGTTGGTTCTGCCATAGGTGGCAACACCCATCCTGACCAATGTTACTCCTCTGCTGTAGAGAATTCCCCAATGTGGGCTGTTGAATTTCTCAAGGAGAGTGTGAAATTTCTTCTAGACAGACAACTCAGGTTGAGGTCTCATCTAACTTTTTCCTTCACGTGACCTTCTTGGAAATCAGTTTTTAACAGATGAACCATTCGGGTGAGGTATAGAGAGTGAGAAGTCCCTGCTTGGTTTTGGGGACCCTACTGTTCTATGAGTGTGAACAAAGGCTGACTTGTAGGGAAGCCTCGGCACCAGGTGATCTCTTTCTAGGGAACAGAGAGAGGGACATACTAAGTAGAGCTCCACTGGAGCCACAGGGTGCTTAAGGCTGTCCTGTGACAGGGACTTTGGGTGGCTTCATGCATCTACTTCTTGACTTTGAGGAGGCCTCAAAAACCCTTCTTTAGTCATTTTCACCTAAATATTTCATAAAAAATTTCTGTGCACTTATTCTGTGCCAGGGGTTTTGCTAAGCATCAGTATTTTTCTTTCTTGATTCACAAAATTAGATATTCAAGATGAGATGATATTTTTTGGTAAGTGAGTGGATATACTTCATAAGCTCGAAGGTTGTGGGTCCAAAGAGTCATGGTGGCGTTTTTCCTTTGATGCAGTTCAAAGAGTTCTTACCTGCACAGTCTCACTGGCTCCTCACTTTATCTATAAGAGGCAGTGATGACTATCCTATTTCATAGCTGGGGACCCCTGGAGAGGTTAAGTGACAAGCCTATGGTCACAAAATTGGCAGAGTTAGCAACCCAACCCAGGTTTCTTATTCCAAATGCAATCTTCTCTTTACACTGAATATAGATGCTCAGGTCTCTTGTCACAGCCAATGCCAAGTGACAGGGCTGAAATAGATCATACTTAGAAGAATTTCCCACATGAAACACCCTATCATTCAGTGATTCTAAGATTCTTTGTAAAACAAAAGAGAGATAAAAAAGAAGTGGTTTAAAATATCTCCCTTCCCTTTCTTTCCTCCTCCAAAGAAATCTCGTGTTTTTCCGTAATGTACAGGAAAGGGTGACGGTGACCAGCATAATTGAGCACATGGTCAGTGGTGGCTGAATGGGGACTTTAGTCATGCTCTTGCCATTGTATCATGAAGACAGAAAACATCTGTAAACATCTTCAGAACCAACTTTAAAATCATTGCTTGTAGTTGAACCTCATAGGATTGCTTGAGTGAGGAGAGAAACACAACTCTGTGAATCTTCAGGGCTGCAATGTTTTTGTGTGTGTTTGTGTGTTGTTGTTTTTTAGGTAGTAGAAAGCCTCTTCAGAGGAATAAAGGAACCAAGACGTGCAGAGACAACTGAGCTTTTGTCTCAACTCATGCCCTACTAAGTTATAATCTTCTTTTAAATTCCATGACAGTCAGTGGGAAGGTGGAAAGGACCTAACACCTACCATAGCCTTCCATGTTCCAGGTATTAGAATACATCATCTCATTTAGCTCTCTAATCAGACCCGTGAAGGAGGTATTCTTACTACATTGTATACAAGAGGAAGTCAAGGCTCAAAGACATTAAGCAATCTGCCCAAGGTTGCAAGGTAACCAAGTGGCTGAAATGGGATTCAGACACAGAGCCCAGGCTCAGTGAACCACGAGGCCTTCTCCCTTTCTTAGTGTGATCTCTTCCTTTCCTTTGCTCTTTTAAATTTCCCTCTCTCTCTCTCTCTCTCTCTCTCTCTTTGCTTTGTCTTGTTAGTCTATTGAAGGCCCTGGAGTGCTACGTTGGAGACGGAGGAACTTCAGATATTATCTAGATTAAACTCTTACTTTATAGAGGAGGAAACAGGTTTAGAGAGGGAAGTATAAAGGTCCCAAGGTCACACTGAGAGGTCATATAAGAGTAAGAGCAAACATGGAAACTCACTGTTTCTTGATTTCTAGTTCAAAATATCCTACTGCTACCTACTGGCACTAGCTCTTCAGGAAAGAGTGATAAGGTAAAGATATGATCTCAGCCATAAGTAAAAAAGAGTTTAAAAGAATGAAACCCCATTCAGTGGGCAAAAACCAGCCACGGTTGCCACTGTCCTGGACGACATCCCCAAATGAGCAGAGAAGCACACACTGAGATCAGTGGAGTGAGGGCATCTAACAGAGGAGCTCATCTTAGACTGGAAGTGGGGAGTTCACTGGGGAAGGAAGAGGGAACATTCAAGGCTGAGTAAAGGCCATTGGGTCAAATTAATGAACATACAGTCTGAGGCTGGAGTCCAGAGAGGGGCTGCTGGAAGGGTGAAGAGATGAAGCTGGAGAGGAAGGTGAGTCAAATGGGCAGACCCACTAAGGTCTTTATCCATTTAACACTGGGTGAACTTTGGATTGGTGCTCTGGAACTTGGAGAGCAGAGGGATGCTGTGGCTTGGAGTAGATGGAGAACTCAAGCTGGCAGAAGGGACAGCTTCATGTTGAGGCAGGAAATCCCTGTTTAGCTGTGATCCTCTCTCTGCCTTAGCTCATTTGTTCCCCTATTTTTGTGCTTTTTTAAAATTCAGAATTCCCCTTCTCTCTTCTCTTGAGAAGGTGGTTAATAGGGCTATGACCCTCTTTGCCTTACCCCTTGGCTCTGTGCTCTTCTTTTCATTTTTTCACAGGAGATTTGTAAAAATAATGAAGGGATTAGCTAAAGAACATATATGCAGAGCCCGTGGACACAGACAATAGTGTGGCAAAGGCCAAGGGAGCAGGGAGCAGGAGGCGGGGGCAGGGCGGAGGTGGGCAAATGGGGGCAAATGGGGGACCACTGCAATAATGCCAACAGTAAAAAACTTAAACAAAAAAGAAACACACACACACACAAATCAAAGTTCACTAGAGAGCATCTTGTGTGTCAGCAGGCCTGTCTGTGCCCATCTCTCACTTTTATTTTTGCTGGCTCCTTGTGGCTGTTCAATCAGAAGTGCATTTTAAGAAATTCCCTTCCCCCTTGAGTCATCTGCCTCATTGGAGTCATCGTTAACCCTGGTCTGAACTTGTTTTTCAATAAAAAAAATACCTTGTATTAGTTTTTGGAATTCTAAAGCATGTTACTTGAATACTGCTGGGGAAATATAAAAAATATAAAGAAGAAAACCCACAACCATTGGACCAACTAGAGGTTTTCACTATTACTATTTTAGTGTATTTCCATTCAGCCTCTCTTTTTTCAAGACATCTATAGGTTTGCTTTTAAGCAAACGGCATGTTCTGAGAAGTATTTGCTTTCCT